ATAGATAGATAGATAGATAGATAGATAGATAGATAGATAGATAGATAGATAGATAGATAGATAGATGATAGATAGATAGATAGATAGATAGATAGATATGGACTTCTGGAAAATTTGGAAGAAGTCGCTTACACTCAGGAAAAAGAAACTCGAAAAATAAAGCCACTGTAGGTTTTCTTTTCTAGAGATTGGCTCCAGAGAAGCAAAACTTAACGACCCCAACCGTTTCCTTCCTGTATTACTTTCCGGGTCAGTGGTAAGAGAAGGCAGGAGGGTCTTGTGTCAAGGGCACAAGGACAGCTTCCCTTAGCTGGTCCTTCAAGCATGCCTAGGACCTCAGGAGCATGGGGCGTTCCTCCAGTCACCCAGCAGAGGGTCACCTGGCTTCATTTCTCCTGAAGCCATTTTTAGGTTAAGGCATCAGGATGAGCAGAGTGCGGTGAGAGGACGCGTTTCACTGAGGAAAGCTGGGAGCTATGAAAGGCTTTAAACTGATGAAATAGTATGAAATAACACCGCGTTGGTACGGGGGTTTATGTATCTCACTAGGTGTCCCCCCCCTTCAGGAAGCAGCTCTCTTGATGCAGGATTCTTTGCCCTTCATTCTCACATAAGAAAATTCTAGGTAAGACAGTATTAAACATTTTAAGCATCTTAAAGATGTAGTTGGCAGAGTTTATTTCAGGCAATTTGTAGTAATTTCTACTCAGCAGAATTTTTTTTTTAAAGATTTATTTGTTCATATAGAACTGGGGTACAGGCCAGAAATGCGGAGGGTGAAAGGATTAGCCAGAGACAGAGTGGGGAACAGAACAGGCAGATGGACGAAGTACACTGCTGAGGGGAGCAGCGGGCGGGTCAGGAGAGCTCTGCCGAGCCATGTGAATCTCCTCCAGGGCAGGCGGGAATCGCACTCATGCGGAGGTGACTTAAGCTTCTTAGTGCTGTGCTTTAACCCGCTGCGCCACCAGGGAGGGCCCTCAGCAGAAGTTTTTAAAGTGCTTTATCACAGTGACTTTACTTACATTGGATGTTCTGTGGGGTTGAATGTTAGTCTGTGCTGATTTAATCAACACACTGGAATTCCAGTGTAATATTTCTGTCTTTAAATGTCAGTGAGGTGGAACAGTTTTTAAATTTGTTAATAGTATTTTTTGTTGATTTCATTATGATAAATGTATTTAATGTTCTTGGGCATAAGGAAAGTAATGTCTGAAAATTATTCAGTGATGAGGCATAATGCTATGATAGAAAGTATAACTGCATAACCTATAATGCTATTACGCTATGTTATTAGTGTTTGTTTCTTTAATCACCTGATACAACTTACCCTCTTCGTTACAAGGGGTTTTATTTTTTTGGCATTTATAATGAAGTTTTGTGCTACCATTTCTCTATATTTTAACATTTTCCAATAAACTGCTTTGAATATGTCCCCAATGTAGCTTCATATTTTTCTGGATTTTTTTGTCTTATGACTTCATAATACCATTTTTCTTCCTTGAAGTTTTCTTTTGAATGACCAATTTAGTTTATTTTTATGTAGTTAAAATTCATTATTGTTGTGAATTATCTCTCACTTCAATGTAATCCAATAAAGCCCTTGGAATTATTTGCTTTATATCAGACATGAGCTAAATGAGACGGAGGATTGTAAACGAGAAGTAAGCCTTCTACCACGGAGTGGCGTCACACCCAAAGTATAGCGCCATAGGCCTGTCAAGCTCCTGGAAATTCTACTCCGCCAAGAGCACCTTGCTCAAGCACCGCATGAGTAAGTGATTCAGAAAAAAAAAATAAACTATAGTAAGAGTCATAAATGACCTAAAAGTAAAATATTAGACCCCTGTGCCTCACCGGGCCTCTTTGTGGGTCATTCCCAGGGGCATCAGCCTTGCTGGTTCAATTGTTACCAAAATAAGGATTGATTTTGGGCAAATGTGCAGTACTTTGTGACCCAAGGAGTTTCCGGTAAACGCTGTCCAAGTTTCCTGATAAGATGGACACCTGGACATCTTGCTGAATAGCCCCTGTAGCCAGGCACCATCTGGGCGGAGCCAGCCATGCCAGAGAGCTCAGCTTTGCCTGTGTGTGTGTGTGGGGGGGGCCCTCTATTTTTGAGATTTCCTGCTACTATAGAATCTCGGCTTTCTGAGTGTTAGTGCATTGGATTTGGAGAAGTTGTTTCACCTTGGCCTATGATAGAAAAGAAGGAGCTTCTGGGCACCAAGGCAGGTGCAGGTGATGAAGTAATTAGTAGCAGTAACCCAGGTGATCAGGGCAGAACCTCGCTGCCCGGGGGCTGCTCTGTGCAACTGCAGGTGTGGCAGACAGCAATCTGCCACTAGGTGGCAGCAGCACCCCATTATTGCCATTGACGCCGTCTGTAGATCGCGTTCTTTACCCAGAGAAGGGGGGCTAATTGTTGAGGGGCGACGGCAGCACTGATGACCCCTGTCTACATGAAGAAAATAGTAACTCCAGGGGGTTGCTTTTGCACACACCTTCCTGATGTGTGTATATGACGATCTTTCTGGGAAGCCCTCGAGTCTGGCCACCCTCCCCACTCCTCCCATGCCAGGCCCTACAGCCAGGGCCTGACTAGGGTTGTTCAGCAACCTAAGACATTGTCTGACTTCCCCTATATGTTCGGGTGGGGGACCCTCCTCCCCAATCCAGAATCTTCTAGCCTTCATGTTATTAGGGATCTCCTTTCCCGGACACCACCTACAATCAGCAGGACCCCAAATTCATTGAGGCCTGTCATAAGCCCACATCTTCTGCAGGGAACTCGTTTCTACCCCCCAATGTCAGTGTGTTGATGGACACCATGAGACACAGGACTGACCAGTGTCCTTTTGGCCAATTACCCCCATGGCTCGTGAACCTGGATACTTGTGGCCTCAGACAGTGACCCTCTTTTCCCACATAACCTTAAGGGAAGTTTTTGTTTCAAATCATGATGTTACTGCCTTGACACTGAGCTGTGCCACTGAATTCATCTACTGGAGCCAGAGGCACCCACCTACAAAATGGAAATATCAGTGCCTACTTTGAAGGATTACTGTGACAATTAAATCAGACAAGGTTTTCCAGCCCTGCTTAGGCGGCCCCACTGACTTGTGAAGTCACGTTTTTGGCACAGTGGCACACCCTCAGCTTCACCACCCCGCCTGATAATGGCAGCTTCATTATTACTGAAGTACTGTCCCAGAACTGTAGTTTCATCACGGTGATTTTTTACTATCATGCATAGTAGTCTCCGCGTTCAGGTCTATTTGGAGGACATGGTACAACTTGGCACCCATCACCTAGAGTAAAAATTAGAATAAAGACAAACACTTTTTTTTGTTATGCTGAAAGTATATTTATATATATAGATATAGATATTTATTTCTCTGCAGACAGCTTTACTGGTGAGTCATTTTAACGTTCAAAGAACAGCCTATTTCAATGCTACATAAACTGTACCAGAATGAGATGGATAGCTTCTCAATTCATTTCACAAAGCCAGCACAACTCTGATACCAAAACATAACAATTATAACACAAAACAGAGAATCACAGATCTCACTTAAAAATACAGATGCCAAAATACCAAATAGAACAGTAGCCAATTGAACTCAACACCACATGAAAATATACAAAGCTTTGGCAGATACAGAACCCGATTGAAAATCCAAACGTACACACATAGAGTTGAAACAGAAACACCAGAAACAAAACATCCCCCCACACACACACACTCCATCAGAGGCCTCTGGCCGGGGACACAAAGGAACTAGGTATCTGCTAAACCTCGTTAGCGGGGAGGGGGTCTGCTGGTGGGGTCACCGGCATTATCGCCGGAGTCAGGCTCATCGTCATCTCCATCCTCGGACTCGCACTCTGCCAGAGCTTCGAAGTACTGGAAAGGCCAGCACTGGGGATCTTTTTTATGGAGCTTGGCCAGAAACCTCAGGACGAGCATCTTGCTGGTTTCGAGGAATGCTCGGGGCCCCCAGAGGAGTTCGTACTCCGCTGGCTCAGTGCAGGGGATGCGCCTGTACTCTAGGTACTTCTGCCTGACAAACACTTCGGTGATGAGCTTCTTCGTATTCCCGAAGAGACCATGTGTCTCCCGGACGTCCAGCCCTAGCCTGTACAGGAAGTTAAAGATCAGGTCCTCCCTGACACAGTTGCCCTTCATAAAGATGAGGCTCAGGACCACCATCAGGAGCCCTAACTTGGGCTTGTCTAAGTAGGACGCCACTGGCTCACCCTTAGGGCCCCCCAGCTTGTTGATGATGATGTAAGAGTGGCTTTGGGGATCAATTTCCTTCAATTGATAACCAAAGACACACTCCAGCTTATTGTTGGCACGGTTGATGATATCTAAGCACTCATCTTTGTATTCACGGATGATGAATTTCACCATCTCTGAGCGCTTGATGGGCACCTTGGCTTGGTCCTTGACCAGGAGGAACTGCACCAATGCATTTGCTCTTTCATCCAAGGGAGACAGTGGCTGAGTCTCCAGCTTGGGCTCATCCTGGGTGGCACCGAATCCCTGAGAGAGATTTGCAAGCTCAGAGACAATCAAGGGCTGGGGGCTACCTGGGCTTTCCCAGAGACCCAGGACCCTAGAGGCGCCCAGACCCTCCCAGGCACTCAGAGCCCAGGAGGTGCTGGGCCCTTCCCAGCCACTCAGGATCCTGGAGGTACTGGGGCCCTCCCAGCCACTCAAGACGTGGGAGATGTTTGGGGTCTCCCAGTCACCCAGGATCTGGGTAGGGTTTTGAACCTCCCAGTCACTCAAGTTCAGATTGTCCCAGGGCCTCGGGCCCTGCCAGTCGCGCAGGGCCAGCATCTGGCCGCTGTTACCCTCTTCAGTGTTCAGATGCTTCTTCTTCCGGGTGGCTTTGCCTGAGCGACGTGGAGGCTCAGCGGAGGTCTTAGAGGCCTCCTGAGTGGTGGCCACTGCCGGGGGTGCAGCTGCCGCCGCCATCAGAAGGCTGGGTGTTGCCTTGGAGGCATCCAGGTTGGGCTGCGGAACCCATGGCACAGCAGGCAGGGCCTCTACACAGGCAAATGGATCCTGCAGAGCAAGTGGCAGTGACTTTGGGGTCTCTGAGGTGGCAGAAGGACCCTTAAAGGCATTAGAAGAGGCAGGCTGGAACTGGGAGGTAGCTGGAAAGACCCTGGAGGTGGCAGTGAAGGTCTCCGGAGTGGCAGGCAAGTTCTTCCAGGCAGGCAGCAGGTGTGCCCGGGCAGCTGACCCCGCCTTCGGAGCACAGAAAGTGGCAGCAAAGATCATGCGATCCTTCGAAGGAGCCCTGCGCTCCTTCGAAGAGGTCCTACGTTCTTTAGAAGAGGTCCTACGTTCTATCGAAGAAGCCCTGGATTCTCCCGATGGAGTCATGAGAGATTTAGGGGAACCCATGGGAAAATTTGCTGCCATTATGGGGGCTCCGGGCTGCCCCTGCAAGGCTGCAGGGGGCCCCTGCCAGGAGGGCTGGAGTTGCATGGTTGGCAGCTCTGCCTGCGGACCCGCGGGCTGGGCCTGCTGGGGGGGTAGCTGGATTTGCAAGGCCTTTTGGGAGGCCGAGACCCCCTGAAAGGGCTGCTCCAGCTGAATCAGCGGTGGGCCCTGCCTCTGGGCCTCCTGGGGGGGCAGGGGCTGCCAGAAGTGCGCAGGTGGCTTCGGCGCCTGCCAGGCAATCGCCTGGGCTTGTTGAACCTCCTGGAACTCCATCGATGTTGGCAGCTCATGTGGCACCGGGGGCTGGCCTTTAGGGGCCTGCCAGATGATGGGTGGGCAGTGCGCCACCCGAGGGGCCGACAGTGGGACGGACAGTGTGGCCTGGGGTGCCTGAGGGCCAGCAGGAGGTGCTGTGGGCACCTGTGTAGCAGAAGGAGCTGTGGGCACCTGCTGGACGGTGGGCACCTGCTGGACGGTGGGCACCTGCTGGACGGTGGGCACCTGCTGGACCGTCGGCACCTGCTGGACCGTCGGCACCTGCTGGACCGTGGCCACCTGCTGGACCGTGGCCACCTGCTGGACCGTTGGCACCTGCTGGACCGTGGGCACCTGCTGGACCGTCGGCACCTGCTGGACCGTTGGCACCTGCGGCGCTGCCCGTATCTGCGGGGCTGCACGCACCTGTGGAGTAGGCAGCCGCGCCTGTGGTGCCTGCCGCAGAGGTGGTGGGGGTGGCAGGGCCTGCCAGAGGTGCGGTGGGGTGGCCAAGACCTGCGGGGCAGGCCTGATGGGCGGCGGTGCCTGGCGGATCAGCGGCGGAGCCTGGCGGATTGGAGGTGGTGCCTGACGCACGGGCGGGGGCCCAGGTCGGATGGGGGGCGGGCCGGGTCGGATGGGTGGTGGGCCCTGGCGCACAGGCGGCGGCGCCTGCCAGGCGATCGTCGGAGCCTGCCAAGTGACCTGTGTGGCTTGCCAGGCCAGGGGCGTGGCCTGCCAGCCTTGCGGAGGGGCCTGCCATCCCGGCGAGGTGGCCTGCCAGCCTGGGGGTGTGGCCAGCTGTGCCGGCGGGGCCTGTGGGCCCTGGGGAACCTGCGGAGGAGCCCTTATAACCTGAGACTGGATTTGCAGGATCAGAGGCTGAGCCTGGGGGGCCCAGGAAGCCATAGGCTGCGCAGGTGGGGCGGCCGGCTGCACCAGGGGGGCTCCTGAAGCTGAAGGCTGGGCGATAGGCGCTCTCGAACCTGGAGGATGAATCATCAGGACTCCGGGACCTGGAGGCTTGGCCATCTGGGCTCCCGGAGGCGGAGGCTGGGCGATCAAGGCTCCTGGGGGCGGAGGCTGAGCCATCGGGGCTCCCGGAGCAGGAGGCTGGACCATCAGGACTCCCGGAGTCAGAGGCTGTGCCATCAGGACTCCCGGAGCTGGAGGCTGGGCCATCGGTGTCCCCGGAGGGGGAGGATGGGCCATCGGTGTCCCCGGAGGGGGAGGATGGGCCATCGGTGTCCCCGGAGGGGGAGGATGCACCATCGGAGTTCCCGGAGGGGGAGGATGAGCCATCGGCGTCCCCTGAGGGGGAGGATGAGCCATCGGGGTCCCCGGAGGAGGAGGATGGGCCATCGGGGTCCCCGGAGGAGGAGGATGGGCCATGGGCGCTACCGGAGCCGAAGGATGCATCATCAGGACTCCTGGAGTCGGAGGCTGGGCCATCGGGGCTCCCGGAGGGGGAGGATGGATCATGAGGACTCCGGGAGTCGGAGGCTTGCCCATCGGGCCTCCCAGAGGGGGAGCCTGGACCATCGGGCCCCCTAAAGCCGGGGGCTGGGCCATCGGAGCCACGGGGGCAGGCGGCTGACCCTGCGGGGCCTCCCAAGCAGGCTGAGGTGCCTGCCAAGCGGCCAGGGAAGCCTGCAAATCGATCGGAGGAGGATCCCAGGGGACTGGCGGAGCCCGGGAGGAGGCGGGCGGGGCCCGCATCAGAACCGTAGGGCGGCTATAGACCGGAGGCTTGGGGGCCTCCGCCGGGGGACTCGAATCTCCCAGATTCTTACTTAGCTGAGACATGTCCTTTCACTCCGACAGCTGGTGGGTCTTTTCCTCCGACAGCTGCTGGGCCTTTTCCTCCAGAGGAAAAAAGAACGCCTACGTGGCCGGCCAGGCGAACCTCCCTCCCGGCTGCCTAACTAGGAAGTGAACTCTTATAGCACCGCGGATCCAGCAGTTAAAAGAAGGGGGAAGGGGGAGGGGGGCTCAATCCCGCCCCTTCCCCGCCTCCGACCACCGCAAGTGGATAGCGCATAGGGGCGTCTACCAGAAATGCTGGCTGACACAAGATCCCTTCTTGCTCTGTCCAGTCCCCAAATGCAGCCCGGTCAAACTCTTCTTGGATGACTTTTCACGGAGGAGTGACAGGAACAAATCTGGGTTTTAGAAATCACGTTGCTGCAGTATAGAGTGGGAGCAGACCACCGGGAACACAGAGGGGGGAGATGGTGCGGTCTGAGCCCAGATCCGAGCAGCAGGATGAAAGAAGTGTGTACGCACGGGAGTGACTCAGGGGAGCATAGTAGGCAGCTATCGTACATTAATGGAAGAGCAAGAGATGGTGATGGCATGTAGGTCTCTGTCCTAAAGTGGGGAGCTGTCATGTAGTTGGATCTCTTGGGGACACAGAGGAAGATGCGTCCCAGTCAGGACATAGGCACTGACAGATCTGTGCAGCTGTCAACGGGAACTGCCCGACAGACAGCCTTGCCTAATGCCTTGGGTTTCGGAAGAAAACTGTGCTGTAAGTCAGGATACTTTTCTCATGAAAATAGAGCGGTGGGAGTGAATGAGGTTGCAGAAGTGAGTGTCGAGTACAGCTCCTGAGATAGGACTTGATGAATGAAATCCTTTTAGAGACAGGCAGAGAAAAGTGCTGGCAAAGACAGACAAGAATTCTGGAAATTCAGAACTTGGGAGGCAGGGGGGAACTCTTGTGGAATGTGTAGGATATAAGACCCTGGGGCAGGCTTTGCTGGATGTTGCTCACCAATTGCAAAAACACAAGGCAAAAAAAAAAAAAACTATACACAGGAAAACTAAAAGACACGTTGGAAGTTAATATTCTGGGTAAATGGTTAGATACAAGGTTAACATATAGAAAAAAGGCAGATAACGAAGGCAATACAAAATTTGGGGAAAATCTCATGGATAAAATCAGCTTAAACATTAGACATAAGGTTATCAACAGGTAAACAGAACTCATCAAAATCGTTGAGTGACGCTATACTTCATTCTGAAAGGAAGTGACAGTCTACTTTCTACTTGGTTAGTTTTCTACAAACATATGAAAACACTAAATGTGAGGATGTTTCTTACAGAAAAGCCTGTTCATAGCCTAGAGCAAAAATCTCGGGTGACTAAAAGCGGAAAAAAAAAAAAAAAAAACTCAAGAGGCCACAAGGGGGCGGATGAGAATGCTGAAGGCTACCCCCCCCCCCAATTCCTCCCTAGGTAACCTTAACCGTGCCTCAAATTTTGTAATTTATGGGTCCCAGTGGCGGCACATACATTTCCCCAAGGTCGTCATTGCCATAAATAATGAGGGAAGAGTTTGAGAATATTTTAGTTTTGTTTTTGTTTTGTTTTTGCTTTGCTTTGTTTTGTTTTGTTTTACTGGCAATTAAAGGGATGAGAAATCAGAGTTGTTAATCTTCAGCAACATCTTCCTCTTTGAAAGCAAAAAGGCTCTTTTATTATCCCTCCTATTAAAATCCAGAAAGCTACTTCCCCTAAATAGATCCTGCCAAGCTGCATGGTTTCTAGGTCCTTCTTGAGGTTTAATAATCTATATTCACAGGACTTCTCAGTTTTATGGGGGCTCAGTACTATTTTCAGAGGGGCTATCTCTGGACACATAACTCTCACGGTCCCATAGCATGGTTAGTGGGTTAGTGGTAATGGCCTTGAGGTCAACTCACTCTGCAGATAATGACATTTCCACCATCACTGACGCATGCTTTACCCTGCTCTAATTTAAATGTATACATTCCCCAGAGATTAAGTTCATCCATTAACCATTTCTTTGTCAGGGTTATGACAGATTTAACCTTCAGCCCACCAAGCTGTAGGTCATCCCCCACTAATGAATGACTACCGGCAAGGCCAAATTGTTCTCACTGGAGCTCTGTGAATAGTCTGCACAATGTCAGCTCCTACCAAACCTATTACGTGTAGAGTCCCCACTTTTGCCCAGTTGTAAACCGGAAGCCAAAAGAAAAAAACGCTGGGAATTATGAAGGAGTGAAACTTGCTGGTGACCTTAGAAATGGAGTGTAGTCACGGATCAGTGCCTTTACAGCTTCCAGTGGAGAAAAACTGGTGTATCTATATCGTGATCTGGTGGGGCCAGTCACGGTGGGTAAATCATTTTTCTTTTCTGGAAAATGCATTTGTTAGTTTTAGGCAAGAAGTGCATTCAGACCCAGGCCACTGGACAGCCTAGCCCCTTTGTGAACACAGATAGCATGAATAACATCAAATCCAGTCATGGCTGTAGGATCTGCTGATCCCACATCCAGAGATTCAACCAAAAGTAAATAGAAAATACAGTCCTTATTGAACAACATAAAGATGCTAACCACCCTCCTCCCACAATGTCAAAAATCCATGTATAAATTTTGCTTCCCTAGAAATGAAGAGCCTACTATTGACTGGAAGCCTTACTAAAAACATAGGTGTCTGCTAAGATTTTACGTTATTACATTAATTTTTCACAATTAAGCAAGCAGAGGAAAGAGAAAGCTACAAAGATAATATTAAGAAAGAAAAGTACATTTATAGAAAAATATCCACATGTAAGTGAACCCTGGTAGTTCAAATCCATGTTGCTCAAGGATCAGTTACACACATGTAGTTAGGTCTAGAGTAGTTGAATCTGTGCTGAACTACTTATTACTCCCAAAACAATACTATATATCAACTGTTTATATCATACTTGCATTTTTCAGTATTATAAGGAATTTGGGAGAATGAACACAGATTGTAGGCAAATACTTCACTTTACATAAAGGGTTTGTGCATCCTTAAATTTTTGTCTTAGAGCCCACCCCTAGCTGATACAGAGGTCTGTACTTCCCTGCTTTAAACAAGTCTCTCCAAATTGCTTTTTCCTTGTGGACTCTTCTAGACTACTGAAGTCCCCATTTCCTTCTGTATCTGTGCTTTTCCATGTGCTGGACAAAATGGTGTCAGGATTTACTTTCCTTGCTTCTTCATGAAACACCTTACATATTCAAGGTGGGGAGAAAAAAAGGTAAACAATGCACAGAAAGAAGATGTCTCTCCCTTCTAATTAGACAGGACTTTCAGTAGTTGCCTGAATATATAACACACATAATTGGAAAAAATGGATAAAGGAGAGCGGAGGACAGGCAAATCATTGAGCCAAGTATATAAAGAACTTGTATGCTTATTATCTGGCTCAACACACAAAAAGCGCCTCCCTGCAGTCTGAAGCCTATTTTGTTCACTATTGTGTCCCTGGCTCATCCTGAGTAATCAGCAGTGAGCTACTGAATGGAAATACAAGATTAGAACCAACAGTGCTTATTTTTCATATCTCTGAAGTCATTAGACTTATTGTAAATATTTATGTCAGTAAAATAATTAGGTATGATTTTTGCAAAGCCTACAGTCATTTATTTACCAAATGTCCTTTATTAAGTATTCACTGTATGCCCAACACGATGCTGTGTGTATGTAGCAGAACTACAGAGAAAAATGAGACACTGGACATTACAGTCCCAGGAGGAGGCTAATAGGGTATTTTTAGTGCAATGTTGTTTCTTTGTTTAAAACTCACATTGGTCATAGTTGAGGCAAATAACTGAGTATTCACTTATGCTTGGAATGTGGGGGTGGGGTGGGGAGGGTGATGTTGGCAGTAGCAATAGAAAGGGAAAAAAAGCCAAAACTGTGGGAGATTCATGAGCCTTCTCCAAATAGACAGATTGAACCCTACTACGGGAAAAAAAAAAAAAAGCATAGGCTATGTCAGAATTACTAGGAGTATAAAAAGGAGAATTGCAAGGAGTTCATTAAAATAAAGTAACTATTACTTGTTGAATGCTTACTGCTTGATCAAATATCATCCTCAGTTTTACACACACTGTATATCGCGTCCTTACAAAATTAACAAGTGTTTGGCTCCATTTTATACATCAGTAAATTGAGGCAAAGGATGGTAATTAACTTGTTGAAGGTCTGACAAGCTATAGTAGAATTTGGATGTAAAGAATCATCTACTTGGGGCCAACATTCTTAGCAAAACACTTTTCTTTCATTTTTCCTATAATTAACACACAATGACATGCACAGAATACAGTATTCTGCTTAATGAGCTTTGTCATGTTGTGTAACACTCAAAACAAGAAAAGAGAACATTTCCTTTAACAAAGAAAGGTCTACTGTGCACTTTTTCAGTAGATTCCTCTACTCCCATGGCATTGGCTTTCTGATTTCTCTCATTATGTATCAGTTTTGCAAGTTCTTGAATTTCCTATAAATGAAATCACGAAGTGTATTTTTTGTGTCTGAATTCTACTGTTTTTTGAGGTTTGGACATGTTCTTGCATATATTGAAAGTCTGCAATTTTTTTAATGCTGAGTAGAGTTCCTTTCTATTTATACTGCAGTTTGTTTAATTCTTACCTGTTGACATTTGAGATATTTACAGTTTGGGGTTTGCATGAAAAAAGGCTGCTTTGAAAATCGTCTAAAAGTCTTTTTTTTTTTTTTTTTTTGGAGCATGACTTTTTATGTATCTTGAGTTAGTGTTGGACTAAATGACTAGGTCATGGAGTAGATGTGTGTTTATTTTCATAAGAAACTGCATCAGTTACCCACCATTGGGTTGGGCCATTTTACACATTACCAGAATATATGAGAATTTCAGGAGCCCAAAAGTCTTACACTTACAGTCTTTTATTTGGGTCTTTCCAATGGATGTGAGATGATACCCGTGCAATTTTGTATTCCTACTAACAATGTCTGACAATGCTAGTTGTTTCACTTCCTCACCAAAGTTGATGTGATTAACCACTTTTTTCTTCACTTTTAATTTTGTTAAACATCCTTGTTTGTTTTTTTCTCAATATAGGATTTCTCGTCTCAGTGGG